CCACTTTTATTTTCAGGAAGGAAACACATCTGTGGAACAGTAACCAGTACCAGAGACAAAAAAGCGGAATCCGTGTCGGGAACAGTTAAAGATAGACACCCAGCATTCCACACACACACACTCACACATACACACACATATACACACACACACACACACACACACACACACACTCCTCTTTCTTCTCTCTTGTCCTTTGTATCCATTTGTTACAGTTTCTACAATTTAGCACGGCATGTTAAAAAAACAAATAAACATTTACACCCAAAAATAAGCAAGTAAACTAACAATAGCCAACAGAAATACGTCACATATCAAAAGCTTTTTTTCTGTGTGAACGTTTCATGATGAATAAATTAAAAGAAAGGATCCAAAATACCATGGAATTAAATCTTGAAGCCTTAACGTACTTTAAAGTTAAGAATACGCTTTTCTTCTCAAAGACACAAGGCTATTTAATGATAGGGATTTTGAAGATACAAAGTCTTGTAGAAATTTCTGAGATAAAAAGTTTTATTATAACAGAAATTTTTGAATATGAATCTTTGTTATTACACTGATGTGGAGATATGAAGCTTTGGAGATATGAAGCTTTGAGGTTTTGTTACAACAGTAACACCAAAGTTAAAAGATTGTGTTACAATGGTAATATTAGAGTTATGAGGTTTTGTTATCACAGTGATATAAAAGTTACAAGATTGTGTTATGATGGTGATATTAGAGTTATGAGGTTTTCTTACCATGGTGATATCAAAGTTACAAGATTGTGATACAATGGTAATATAAGAGTTATGAGATTGTGTTACGATGGTAATATCAAAGTTAAGAGATTGTGTTACAATGGTAATATTAGAGTTATGAGGTTTTATTTTGAAGGTGATATCAAAATTATGAGATTGCGTTACGAGGTTTCGTTATGACGGTACTATCAAAGTTATGAAGTTGTGTTACGATGATAATAAGAGAGTTGAAACATTGTGTTATGACAGCAATATCATAAGAGGCTTTGATAGGATGGTAACATATGACCTACAGGGGGTTTTATTATGACAGTGATATCAGAGTAACAAGGTTTTGTTTGATTTTGATGATAAGAGGTTTTGTTGCAGGGATGATAACAGTTACAGGGTTTTGTTATGGCAGAGTTTCTGATATCTAGTGACATCTGAGTTACAAGGTTTTGTTATGACTGATTTTGGGAATATGATGTTTTGTTACAAGGGTAATAACAGAGGTATGGATTGTTTACATGATGGTAATATCAGAGGTACAAGGTTTTGTTACACCTGTGATTTTGGACATATTAGGTTTTGTTACAATGGTGATATCAGACGTACCAGGTTCTGTTACAACTGTGATTTTGGACATCAGAGTTTTTGTTATAACAAAGACTTCAGAGATACAATTTGTTGTTGCGAAAGAGATTTTGGAGATAAAAAAATGCTGTTATAATGGAGATGAGACCAACTTCCTTAAACTGGGTGCTGTTACTGTGACCTGTGTTGTATCTGAGTATTGTACAGTTATAGTTGTCTGCTGTCTCTTATATGCAACAAATACTGGGCTGCACTTGTTATCATCAAATCACACACAACAGCAGCGTGTGTGCCTGTGTGTTTCATGTAAACAAACTTTTAAGTGTCTGCCGAATTTCCCTGTTGCCACTCATGCGGAGCTGCTATGGTCAGATGCTCTTACACAATTAGACTCTTCAAAGCTACTGTGAAGACTCTTATCTGATACAATGCAGTTACAGTCTAGTCACTCTGCATAGGAGCAAAACTGATAACACCTCAGTAAACAGCGCAGAGTCAGAGACCCAGTGAATTATTATCTTTAAATAAGAGAGGAAGAGAGAGAGAGAGAGAGAAACATTGAGGAGTTGAGGAGAGAAAAAGAGACTGAGACTAATGAGAGAATGAGAGAGAAAGAGGGAAATTGAGAAGAGAAGGAGAGAGGGGGCGTTGAGAAGAGAGAGACTGAGGAGAGATAGAAAGGAGTGAGAAAGAGGGAGAGAAAGACAGAGAAAGACAGAGAAAGCAGAGACAGGGAGGTTGAGAGAAAAGAGAGAGAGAAAGAGAGAGAAACTGAGTAGGGAGGGTGCAGTAGAGACAGACAGATATAGAGAGAAAAAAGAGAGAGAGATTGAGGAAAGAAGATTGAAGAAAAAACTAATAGTTATATTAATAATAATGAGGATTCCCAAACAAAAAAGATTCACCAATGAAATGATATCACACCCGTATCACTAACTGATACAACACGTTGTCCAGCACACCACTTTTTCTCAAAACCAGAAATATTATGAGTACTTTGATAAAAAATAAACTCAAATTTAATGTGATTCCACTAAAGCTCTGAAAAATTTTAAACTTCCTGCCCTTCAGACTCTAATCTGAAAGACTTCTGAACTACTAACTTTGCTTGTCCCACTAAGAAATTAGCCAAATTACATTTAGAAGATTTTACATTTAGAGTATTTACAGCCAAAGATAAACGCCCTCTGAGCACTCGGTCCAGGACCTTGCACTGAGGACCCAGCCCTCTGAGCGCTCTGTCCAGGAGCTCAAACAGAGGACCCAGCCCTCTAAATGCTCTGTCAAGGACCTCGAACTGAGGACCCAGCCCTCTGAGTGCTCTGTCCAGGACCTCGAACTGAGGACCCAGCCCTCTGAGCGCTCTGTCCAGGAGCTCAAACAGAGGACCCAGCCCTCTGAGCGCTCTGTCCAGGAGCTCAAACAGAGGACCCAGCCCTCTAAATGCTCTGTCCAGGAGCTCAAACAGAGGATCCAGCCCTCTGTCCAGGAGCTCAAACAGAGGACCCAGCCCTCTGAGCGCTCTGTCCTGGACCTTGAACAGAGAACCCAGCCCTCTGAACGCTCTGACCAGGAGCACGAACAGAGGACCCAGCCCTCTGAGTGCTCTGTCCAGGAGCTCAAACAGAGGACCCAGCCCTCTGAGCGCTCTGTCCAGGACCTCAAACAGAGGACCCAGCCCTCTGAGTGCTCTGTCCAGGACCTCAAATAGAGGACCCAGCCCTCTGAGTCCTCTTTCCAGGAGCTCAAACAGAGGACCCAGCCCTCTGAGCACTCTGTCCAGGAGCTCAAACAGAGGACCCAGCCCTCTGAGCGCTCTGACCAGGAGCACGAACAGAGGACCCAGCCCTCTGAGCGCTCTGTCCAGGAACTTCAAACAGAGGACCTAGCCCTTTGACAGTCAGAAAATGTGAGAGAGAGAGAGAGAGAGAGAGAGAGAGAGGAGTTGTTGAGTGCTTGGCTGAGAATAACTTGGTGAGTTTAGTCTTGTGTGAAACCCAGCACAGACCAGCTGATAAGATAACAGCACTGTAAGCGGACAGTGTCAGTAATCTGCTGTAGCACTCCAACACTAGGCAGGTGCACTGATGGTGAGACACTTCCTACACTATCTGGACTGGTCTGGCTGGGTTGGACTGAGTTTCAGTAACACAGGATGCTGGGACCCACACCCACACCCACTCATACATTTGCTTTTATAGTTTATCAGGATGTTGGCTCATATTACAAATACACACACACACACACACATATATATATATATATATATATATATATATATAAAGCTGTCTGCTGTTGGAACATAACCTCATAACCTTGTTTAGTAAATGTAAACTAATAGACAATAGAGGGAAGTTAAAATTGGTGCGCACTAAAATTCTAAACAAAAGCTAAACTAAACAGATGTTTTTTCAGTTGTTATTGAATAATATACAGTGGTGCTTGAAAGTTTGTGAACCCTTTAGAATTTGCCATATTTCTGCGTAATTTTCACCTAAAACTTCATCAGTCCTAAAGTCCTAGTAGTGGATAAAGAAACCCACATTTAACAAATGAGACAAAAATATTAGTCTTGGTCATTTATTTATTGAGGAAAATGATCCAATATTATATATCTGTAAGTGGCAAAAGTATGTGAACCTTTGCTTTCAGTATCTGGTGTGAGCCCCTTTACGAGGCTAAAGTAGCTAACAAGTAATGGACGTTTAGGTACACCAATTAGCACTGTGCAAAAAAAAAGGAATCTCAAATAGGCTTGCGTGTGCGGTTTCTGACTCCGTATGACGTAGTTATATATAAAAATAGTTAAAAATGTTAAATAGCTAAAACCAGCAGTAGCAGCTATCTTGAAGCCTGCTATATATACATATATATGTATATATTTACACACACACACACACACACTTTGGGATTATTTGGATGGTGAGAAGCAGAAAATGTAACCAACTTCTAAGACTGCACTTTGGAGGTGAGGAAAAATATCCCTGTGAGCAAGTTTCCTGAAAAGAATGGAGTCTGTAATAAAGGTAAAAAATACACTAAACCAAGAAAAATTTGTTTGTATTTGTATTTGTTGAGGTTTCTGCATAATGCATTTATTCTTCTGTTAAATATGTTTTATGCTGACCAATAAGTATCTATATGTAATGATAATATATCCCAAAACATTATGTAATAATAAAGATGCCCCTGTTTTTCCTTTGTATGTATGTGTGATCACTTTCAAAACACAATGTGTAAACAGTGATTGACTGAGAATCAGTGTGTGTGTGTGTGTGTGTGTGTGTGTGTGTGTATTTGTTCAGCTGCTTTTAAACTTCACCACAGTAGCACTCACATAACATGTCCTTAATGACCCCCTCTCATATACAGGATTACCCTGGCTATGATGTGTAGTGTTCTTATCTCTTTTATTGACTGTAAATGACTCTGGTAACTTGTCATATACATGCATGCTATAACAGGTAACAGTTAAATGATCAAGCTCCATATCTCTGTATGCATATGTTTATTTTAAGGCTTCTGAAACAGGAGCATTGTTTATTTTGAGTTGTTCTAGATCCCCTAAACATACAAAACCTTGACATTTGCTAATTTCCCCTTTATCCCTCTCAGTGTGTGTCCTGATCAACACTCAGTGTTTAATATTAGTCTGTGTCTTTGACCGTTGTTTGGGTGTCACCCAAACAGCCGTAAAGGAGAAGAGAGCTGTCACATGAAGAGGAACCATCCACACCAAGAGTTCCTGCAGTTTCCCATATGTGGCTCCTTAAACTGGGTTAATGTCAACCTGAAATCAAAACTCACCCGTTTTAGCTTGTCAGTTCACATTTCCGCCACAGTTCCTCATATCATTTAAATTGGTTTTGATATCATGATATCAAGACAATGGACCTCATTCACCAAAATCTTCTTACTTTTTTTCTTGAGAAAGGTCCTAAGAAAAAGTCTACTTCAGAATTATTCGCACTTTTGTGCTCTTGAGTGTCTTTAGGTTCGGTTCTTACCTAGGAACAAATCCCAGATAAGAAAACATTGGTGAATGTCAGAATCTTCATGAACACAGCATTAGTGGGTTTTAAGAAGAATGGTGAAGAAGAATGGTGAATGAGGCCCATTATTCTTCCATCAAAATGTACTGACTCTTTTTCCACCCCTAAAACATCTTCTGTCTTTGGATTACATCACTATGCACCAGTGGGCGGGGAAAAAACATTGATATCAACCAATAATATCATGTTTCTCCTCCACCACCCACCACTCCCACCTGTCATGGAGAGAACACGCACAGCTAGCTCAGAAGTACACCTTGATACCAGGTTCCACTCAGAAATGTATCACAGTGCTGAAGGAAAACATTTTATAATTATAATAGCTGTATTTATAGAGAACTTGAAAAAAAAATAATAAAAAAAAATAAATGCAAAACACAAAATAACAAAAGTAAAAGTAAACTAATAGAAGAGGGAAAAGTTCAATAAAAAAAGGTCCGCACTAATATTATAAATAAAAGCTAAACTAAACAGATATGTTTTCATTTGTTATCAAGTAATGTACAGTGCTGCTTGAAAGTTTGTGAACCTTTTAGAATTTTGTATATTTCTGCACAAATTTACCTAAACCTTCATCAGATTCATCAGAAGTCTTAATAGTAGATAAAGAGAACCACATTAAACAAATTAGACAAAAATATCATAAACATTGAAATACCACTGTATATCAAACTTGACTAAGTAGTTAAATTATTTTATGGCGACTTTTAATGAATAGTCTGATTAAAAAAAATGTACACAGTTTTTCCAGTACGCTAAATACAGCCCATCAGCCCGAAGACTGATGCTTTACTTATCATTACGAGGCTAATGTAGCTAACAAGTAATAGACGTTTAGGTACACCAATTAGCATCATGCAACCTGCAATCCTGCATGCAAAAAAGCTGTAATCTACTCTAATAGACTTGCTTGTGTGGTTTCAGACACTGTATAACATAGTTATGTATAAAAATGTTGCATAGCTAAAACCAGCAGTAGCGGCTATCTTAAAGCCTGAATTGTGTCCATTATTTTGTCCATTTTTAGAGACAGTAATATGTCATAGAGTGTCAGAAATGTAATAAGCAAGTCTATTTGAGATTACTTAACATGGTTTGAGGAAAGTGTAGGGGGATATGTAGGTAGGTATGTATTTTGCATGATGCTAATTGGTGTACCTTACTTGTTAGCATCACCCTCATAGCTCCAGTGCAAAGCTATAGAAGCGAACTTCAGACACCTAACATGTCTTGATAGATACACTGGGAGGTTGATGTAGCTTGATGAACACAAGCACTATCTAGCCAGAAGCGACCACTGTATATAATACGACCGTGTGCTGTTTCTGTTATGATGATAGTGCTACTGAAAATATGATCCTTTAATAGGGTAGTGAGAGTGTATCAATTTAAGTCTGTGAGTTTCAGTGACAGTAATATCATCCACTAATATAAGTGTGAAACTACTGACTGACCTTTACAACTTTAATTACATTTCATAGTTGAACTAAAGAGAAAAATCAGTCCTATCAGCTCAGCAGTGCGCCCTTGTGGTCACCTTTCAACATTACAGCATTTTTGCTTCTATTAAAGCAACATCTACCATGTGTAATATCAAATCAAAATTGGAGACAGTGAAAAGTGAATACTCAGGTGGCAGACGTTAGCTGACAGCGCTTTTTTTCAGTTTGTGTTGTGAAGATTCACAATCAAATCTAACATTCTTACTCATTCAAAGCTGTTCACATTGACTCATCATTCTTTCTGATCCATTCATTTCCTGTTATAGTAGTGCATTCATAAATGCACTACATATCACTGGTGCATTAGCGATGCCAGTTACTGATTTTGGATGATTAGTTCTTGATCACAAAGATATTGGACGATGCTTCATCACTCCACAGAATACAGGTCCACTGCTCTACACCCCTATAGCCAGTGCTTGGCATTGGATGTGGGGGCAAGGGAGGCAATCATGCTGAGACCTGTAGCACAGTCAACAATTGCAAATGTTTTTTTGGGCCTCTCACGTATTTACTGGAAGATCACATTTCCTAAGAAACTTCACTAGTTAGTTTCCATCAACACTACACAGACAGAGCTGATGAAATGATTCCATTCAAATACTAGATCACAACATGTATTTTATTAAAATATGTATGTTGCACAGCAAGGGTTCTCTGGAATCTAACAGTTCCGCCGCCAATGCTGGGGTGTGGTTTATACCCCTTTACCAACACTTGGCATTGGGCATGGTGACTTTAGGCTTATGAGCAGCTGTTCCATAGCATCCCATTCTGTTGGCAGGGCTTTTCTATTGAGATCATACAAGCTGTGTGTGCACAGTTGACCATCTGAGTCAGCAATGGGTGCACCTTAAAGTAGCAGAATGCACTAGAAGTGTCTGAATACTTTTAAACCGATAGTGTAACTGTCAAGACCACAATGAGCTGATTTTAGGTGGGTTTGTATTTAATTATTGTGGCGTTATTGCCTCTACACTTGTTGACAGTTAAGATATTCTGTGCTGAAATGGAGGCAAATCAAGCAGCAGTACAACAGTACTTGTGACAGTGTGAGTGAGTGACTGGGTAACTGAATGAATGAACGAACGAATGAAATAATGTCTCTTATAAAATTTAAAAATAGATTACAAAATCTAAAAATAAACGCCCACCACTGCCCTTTGACCCAAATGAGTAAAGTTCCAAGAAATTAGGCTGTTGACTTGTTTCCCCCTATTTAACCACCACACACAAGCACACGCTGTGAGCGGCTGTGGTTTGTGGTCTTCTCAATACATGAATGCACTGACCTTCCGAGGAAACGGGAGTGTGCTTGAAGAGTGTGAGAATATCCCATCCAAACAAACATACACACTCACACCTTCATAGTGACAGGAAAAATTCAGCGCGTTCTTAAGAAATGCTGCTACGCTTTGGTTTTCACCAATGACAATCTCTCTCTCTCTCTCTCTCTCTCTTATCTTTCTCTATCTCTCTCACCCCCACTACATGTGACTATTATGACCAAGTCTGTTTCTGGAAATTTGGGGGGCCCTAAGTGACATCTTACGTAAGGGTCCTATCAACTAAATCAGGGATGCCCAAAAGTGAGGCCTGTGGGCCAAAGTTGGCCCCTGAGGATGTTTGATTTGTTACCATAGCCCCCCCCAACACCACTTATAACCAATTCAATTCTTGTTCCCTTTTAAAACTGAATTTTTGAAATACCTTAGCAATAAAATATAGCTTTAAATTATAAAACATATTTTTAAACACACAATCTGAAACTTGACTTTTGTATAGTGTATTATTTTGTCTTTGGTCCTCCAAGACAAAAATCTGGGTGCTCATGAACTAAACTGTCTATGCATTAAGTAAAATAAATAAATAAACGTAATAATATCATGATTGACACAAACAACAAAGGACAACAACAACAATAACAGTACAACAACATACTTGTGGGGCCTCTTGTGGGTCGGGGGGTCCTAAGCTGATTATGACAAATAATAATGGAGAGATTTGAGACAATAAAGATGTTCAGAAATGTCATGGAATTTCGTTTAATATAAGAACTGAAAACAACCATTTCGTGGAAGTCAATGAATTCAAATTCGACTAAAACAAACTTTCTGAGTAAACTCTTTCTATCTGTTTCTCTTTGTGCATGTGAGAGAGAGATATGTGCTGTGGTCAGCAGCTCGTCTGCATTATGCATGCCTCTCCATGCACTAAATAGAGCTTGTGTGCGGGTGTGGACTGTGTGTTCCTCCCCTGCAGTATAATACCCACCCCAGTGACCCCATAGAGTGTTTTACTCCAGCTGCCTCCATAGCAAACAGCTCTGTTTTTCTTTTGAAGCAGCTGCTGTCACTGGCCCAAACAGTGATAACATGACACTGCGTAGGTGGACCTTTCCAGTATGTGACAGCATATCTTACTGAATAACCGCTTTCAGTGGGATCTAAGCGCTTCGGCCGTCTCTACACCTCAAGCTCTGTGACGTTTATGCTCGATTTTAGTCGTAAGTTTCTAGGTTATCTGGCTTATTTATGCTGCACCCACAAATGCAGCAAGGTTGGACTAGCTTAACAGAACGTTGGCAAAAATGCCACTGTGGACATTTAGACCATGCTGTTAAAATCAAATGACATTTTGTTTTGCATGCATGTGAAAGTTCACACAGTTAGGTAGGTTTTTTGTCATGTAATTAAGCTAACATTAGCATGGTAGCAAATTCACTGTCATTTCTAACCTGGCTAGTTTTGATGTACTATAACAACACAGTCCAGCTCAGTAATGTCGCATTTTAAACTGGAAACTCAATGTTTTGTAGTTGATTTAACTGCAATCTAAATTGATAAAGTTGAAAGGGATTTTGCCAGCGTTCTGTCAAGCTCATAGCAACAGTTGCTATGAAGGAAGCACTCGTGGGTGGAGCTTGCATAGGTTCATTAAGATGGAAGCTATGGGCACACTCAATTGTCTCACAGTTGCCCTAATCTCTCTGGCAAACAGTCAGCTGACCTAATTTCCATGCTGTCATATAATTTTGCATTGCCAAGACTATGTTGTGACTGTTCGGTGTCTTGTTCATTCTTTCTCTCTATCTATCTATCTATCTCTTCCCTCTCCCTCTCCTCTTTCATATTCTCCTGGAGGCCTGAAAAAAGTAACTGTTGGAAGCTTCATGTCCCTTCAGGATACAGACGATTTCTGCCCACTTCAGTTGCAGACTGCAGACAGGTTGGTCC